CGGCAGGCAGCCGGAGCGCCGCGCAGCGCTGGGCCGGGCCGAGGACAGCCGCCAAGGAAGCTCTCCGCGCTCACGTGAAGACTCAAGACTTCTGTGCTGTCGAAACGTGCTTTTTCTCAGCGGTCGTCTGGGCTGGAGACGTTAACTTCTAACCCTGGCTGGGAACTTTTTTTTTTTATTATTATTATGATTAAGCTTCCTCGTTTCTTTCTGCCTTTCTCTAGCTAGCAGGCTAGCAGCTTCCTCCACTCTTTTTTTTTTTTTTTCGGAAGGAAAGCTTTCAGTCGTTCAAAACTAGTGGGTTTTTTAAACCTTGTTGTTGTTGTTGTTGTTGTTGTTAGTTGGGTGTTTTTAGTTTTCTCTGTGTGTGTGCGCGCGCGCGTGGGCTTTCCTTGCCGGCTTTTCTTTATCGGTCCCGTTGACTTGAAGCGACAAAAAGAAAAGCCATGTTTCCGAAAGCAGCCTTCCACCTGCTGTGGTTAAAACATTGTTAAGCAGCCGGTTCCTGTGGCCGAAATTAGAGGAAGACTGCCTCAGATACTGAAAAAAAAAATTGGCAATGACTTACGAAGTTGTTGCAGACTGTTGATTTGACTGCTGAGGAGAACGTGAGTGAGAGAGAGCGCTGTTGCACACACAAAACCACAGAGAGAACCCACAATTTAACCAACATCCCAAAACCCAAGTTCTCAGACGTGGACCTTTTAGCCTCAGAGCTTGTGATCGGCTGCGACCTTCCTTTAAATTTATGAAAGACGGCATACCAAAGGCAAATACAAAGATACTTAAAGCTTGAATGCCATGCACTGAGCTTGTGTGCGTGTATGTGTGAGTGTGTGTGTATGCAAGAATTACTGAAAGGTCATGACATGAGTACTCTTAGCGCAATGCAAACCAAACTACTGAACCTGATTTTCAAGGCTGCTTAAAAAAAATCTTGCAGAGAACATTAATGGATTCCTGTTGTGTTTAAATTCTCTACAGATTCTATTGTAAATATTTTATGAAGTACAGTATATATCTGTGTGCGTGTGTGTGTGCGTGTACGTACGTATGTATAGTTATAGCCAGCTGACCTTTGATCAGAAAATCTACTCCACGTATCGCATTCTCGGAAGGCTGAACCCGAATTTCACCGTCTTAAAGAGCGATTTTTGCCTATGGAAGACGCTGATGTATTTTGCTTTCTTTTGAGGACTTTAGAGAACTCATCCGGAAGAAACTGATAGGAAACTGACTCTCTGGGAAGCCCGGGTTTTGCATGTGTTTCTGAACGCGCCGTATATTTGACTTGCATAAAATTGTGCTCGGTGCTGGGGAGTTTGAAAGGAGCTTTCCCTCTGGTAACTTTTCGTAGCCGCCAAAGACTAAATGCAGAGGCGCCGCGGTAAGACCTCGCACGGAAGACTGTTTCGATTATTGGATTAACGTGATCTATTCCGCAGCACCAGGAAGCCAAGAGTTAAGTCTCGGCGTGCTCGCTATCTCAGCCGCGTTCAGCAAAAATTAACTTTGGGGACTGGCGTAGAAACGAGTTTCCCCCGGGTCCTCAGCCTGTGTCCGTTTATGTTGGTCCCCAGAGAGCAGACCGCTGAAGAGTTACGCTCGTTTCGCTGCTCTGTAAAAACTCTGTGGAGGTCTTTCACTCAAAAGGCTTGTTGTGATGCGTATCCCCGTAGATACCAGCACCAGCCGCCGCTTCACACCGCCCTCCACCGGCCTGAGCCCGGGGAAGATGACCGAAA